AGGGACCGCAATACAGGCACTTTTCACTCAGGTGTGACTGGTTGCTGTTAGCTGTAATTTACCAGGGATGGTGAAGGTACCCACAGACAACAGGAAACCAACACTACTACAAGATGAAGGCAGAGGGGATGGAGGGGATGTTTCTGGAGGTAGTGTTACCAGGCAGAACCAAAACTACCATGGGCTAGTCCTTGCTGGCAGGACCTGAGGCCATGGAGCAGAGGCAGCTACCACTAGAGAAGCTTTCAAATTTCTACAAGTTCAAGGGATCCTGGAGAGGGGCATCCTGTGGGGGTCGGCCCACACAGTACAGGACAGAGCAGAAAGGATCCGAAGGGCAAAGAATGCTAGACGGTTCCAGCTTTCTCCATTGTGGCAGCTCTATGTCAGCACTCTAACGTGAAGGTACCAACACATTGCCTGAGCATTTGATTAAATGAAGATTCTAATGCTGGAAACACGGAGTGGAGTGCAGATTCAAAGTTCTCTTTCCTCCCCAACTCATGAATGCCACTGATGCTGCCGATCATGGACCACACTTTCAACAGGCCAGGTTTAAACCATCTGAGTTAAGGATGGGCTATTATTCAGGGAATCCAGCCACATTATTCCCAAGAAAAAGACTATAGAGTCATGCATGAGGCTTTCAAATAGGAGAAAGGTGCAGTAGAAGGCAGGGGAGACTGAGGTCCATGCCACAGGAGGTGATGTTTCTCACCAAGTCTTCACATTTGTATAGATCAAGACTATAGTGGATAAATTGTGTGGCCCCCGTGTTCATGTCTGAGGCTCTAGGTATCCTCGGGATATGACAGTGTCTACAGACAGGACTTTAATTAAGTTTAAATTAATTAGCTGAGGTTATTAAGTTAAAGTAAAGCCATTGGGGTGGGTCTTAACCCAGTGTGACTGTTGTGTCACAAGAAAAGTTAACAAGGACCCACAGTATGACCAAGGACAAGGACATATGACACCAAGATCATATGAGGACACAGCAGGGGTGGCTGTCTATATGCCAAGGATAAAAGGCCAACCCTGGAAGATCTTGGGCTATTATTCTTGGAGTTCTAGATTCTAGGGCTGTGAGGGAAAAAAAAAAATCTGATGTGGAAACCATCCAGACTGTAGTGATTAGTTGTGGCACTCTTGGCAGATTAATACAATGGGCTTTGTTTTTGTTTCTTACTACTAACTGAATCCCATAAGCCTTCACTGTGTGCTTCTCTGTGAGAAACAGAGCCACAAGAGCGAGATTACAGAATGACATGCAGATACAGTCCTAACCAGCTCCAGCTTTTAACTGCCGATGTGTCAGTCAGCACAGAAAGACAGAGATAGAAGCAGTGACAGAAAGAGTCACTACCTAATTCAGACATGGGAGAACACTGTGGAGAACACTGTATCAGATTAAAACCAAATGCTGCAAAGCACAGATGTAAACAAAATCCATCCTAACAGTGCGGGCAGAGGACTTCAAATGGATTCTGACAGGGGACTAAGGAAGGGAAGCAGCGTTTGTGATGGGGCAACCCCAGTCAAGGCTAGGAGACACCATGAAACCTAACTCCCTGTTGTTGCACTTAGGACCATCCAGTAGGATGGGTTGATATGTCAGGGGAGGTGGGGCAGACGCACAATAGGACAGATGAAACTGAACAGAAGTCCCAAGCCTTTCAGGATGAAGCAAAGTAGTCTGCAGTTTAGAAAAATGAAGACTAATAAAAATAGGAAGACATCTTAAAGAGCAAGAAAGGGGATAGAGAACACAGTCACAGAACTGCCCCATACTACCTAAGATGTGCCTAAAACAGTGGTTCTTAACCTGTGGGTCACAACCCCGACAGGAGTCACATCAGATATCCCGCATATCACATATTTACATTATGATTCAAAACAGTAGCAAAATTACAGTTATGAAGTAGCAAATAAGTAACTTTATGGTTGGGAGTCACCACATATGGGGAACCTCAATAAGGGATAACAGCACTAGAAGATTGAGAAAAGACAAACACACATTCTATAATCAGTTACTTCAAAGTGAATGTGAACATGTCATCATCTCTTAGCTTTCTACCTTGGACACAGGGAATCAGCCTGCATCAACCACAGTTTCAAAGCTGGAAACTAAAGTACATGGAAGTGTTACAACCCAATAAGAGAAAGGGAACTGAAGCCTGAGATATAAGTTCTGAGTTAACAGACCAAAGCTTGAGGCTCCAGCCACTGTGCCACTGTGGCCATGATGCTACCTACCAGCTCTGCTTTTAAAAAAAAAAAGTCAGCAGCTTTGCAGCTTTGATTAGAGCATACACTACACAATATATCTAGGGGACTGTCATTGTCCTTCTAATGCCAGGCAACCACACCTCAGGTTTCACTATTCCCAAACAAGGGAAGTCAGAGGCTGGATACCAAAGAAGGGGACAAAGCTATCCCTTGCTTCTGAGCTAATGCTAATGTCTGTATGAGAGGGCAGGGCCCTGTGTTCCTGAGCCCGCTCCCATGATGTCTACTGATAAACTAACCTGAAGTCACACATCTGGAGCAGGAAGGGAAGCATGCAGCACTATAGGCAGGGTGGCTTCATGCACAAGTGATCAACCTATGGGACACACTGTAGAAATGCAGGAGAAGATTGTAGAAAGCACACAGGTACATGTACATTCCTGAGGAATAGCGACCAACTCCCATGGAAGATTTTTCTTTTTGAGACAGGGTTTCTCTGTGTAGTTTTGGAGCATATCCTGGCACGCGCTCTAAAGACCAAGCTGGCCTCAAACTCACAGAGATCCACCTGCCTCTGCCTCTGCCTCCCATGTGCTGGGATTAAAATCGTGCTCCACCAACGACCGGCCCCATGGAAGATTTTAAAAATAAGTATTTAAGTAATGCTCTCTATGGAAGCCCGAAGGCAGTGTCTTCCAAAAGGAGATAGAAAGAGCCCTTAAAGCAACCAGTGAGGCCAGAGGACAAGTGCAGACCTAAAGTACAAAACAGAAGGGGGAGACAGGAAACTGCCCCTGCCTTTCTCATAACCTTTAATAACACACATGCTTCTCATCAAAAAGCCATGAAAAATAAAGATAATTAGATGAACATAAAATAGGATGAGAATCAGAGGAGGATTTGGCTTCAAAGCCCAGAATTTAAGGGTGTGTGTGTGGGGGGGTGTTATGAAGAATTTCAGAGGTTTCATTGTTGTGATTTTTCAGAAAGGTCAAAAAATCCACCATTAAACTAGTTATAGTCTAGAGGTGTCGCTCTGAGTCAATCTTGCTCATGCAAGGCCCTAGCACATTCCCCAGTGCCAACACACATCACACACACACACACACACACACACTCTCTCTCTCTCTCTCTCTCTCTCTCTCTCTCTCTCTCTCTCTCTCTCTCTCTCTCTCTCTCAAAGTATAGGGGGAAGATACCACAGCAACAGTAGCAAGAGATGATGTTTAAGTTTTACAACGTATTCCTGTTGTGCTTCTTGTCCTACCAGATAGCACTTCCGCTAACAACTTTCAAAGTGTTTACTCGTGTTCTTTAAATGCAGCACACTTTAATTCTGTATCTTTTCAAACTTTCTGAGGAAAGTCACACCGTGTCATGGCAGGTCTTTAGAGGCTGCTATCATACAACTGAGAGGGGTTGCATCTTCAGGAACAAATACATGTACCTCCTGGTAGTGCTCATCCTAATGTGACTACTCTGAGATGTGAATGAAGCCTCTGCTCAGCTTCATGCACCACTGTCTCTCAACAAAGGCAGGCCGCAGTGTAGCTCAGTGGTGGGGAATTGGCGTAGCATGTCTAAAACTCTGGGTTGACTCCAGAGAACTACCAAAATAAGTAAGTGAATACATACATTCTGAACAAAGCAAACACTGCAGAAGCACGGTTCCTCAAAATAGCATGCCTTTCTTTCTCCTTAGGAACAGAAGGGAGCTAAGCCCTCACCTAACACTGTCATCTGGGCTCCTGAAAAGAAAGTCCTCAGGACTATCAACCCACTTGCACCTGCATCAAAGCTGAGCGTCGCCACCAGCTCAAGGCATCCTCATAACCCTGGAGTGCCCCAGACAACCTCAATGACACAAAAAAAGTGGACACAGTATATTGCTGACCCTGGCTCTGTGACCCTGTTGTCAGATGAGGGCTCAGTGGCTAATTCAGGCCTTCAAATCTGGCCTCACAAACCATTAACCAAGCATCCCGTTTCACATAAAGGAGATCCAACTTCATGCACTGCTGACACATGTAGCTGAGCCCTGTTGAGCTTGGCCAGCCAACATTACATGGAGCTTCCTTTTTATTCCTAGGGCACTTCACTAGACTTCAGAAACAACTGGATGCCATCAAAGCACAAAGTTGGAACTCAACTCCAAACCTGGTGCAGTATGGGTCTTTTACTAATCAAGTGAGCCAAAATAAAAACAAGGAAACTCCTTGTTTGCTGCACAGAGCATGAAAAATGGAGACCAAAATTATAAGCATCCCTTCATAGTGAGTGTTGGCAGAAATACATACAACCATCATCTAGCAACAGAAACATGAAGAAAATGTATGGGAAATCGGTAGTTTAGAAGTTCCGATAATCTAATCATGCTACACAAGTGTATTCTATAATGTTGTCATGAAAACCATTTTTGTTCTTAATGGATTGCTTTTACGGTGACTTAACAAAATTAGAAACACAGTGTATAGCCTTGATTAACAGGATTTTAAATGTACTGAGCCCAAAATGGAGAAACGCCAACAAATAAAAGCATATGTGTGGAATATGATGGTAACCTGTACATGTTAAATTACAGTTCTCATCAGTGATGTGTACTAGCCATCACCCATGACCTGAGAAACTAAGCATAGGTTCATAGGCCACAGTTTCCAATCAGCTTCATTGATCTTACCTTAAGCCCAGCACATGACAGCCATATTTCAGATGAGAGAGAAAGTTACCAACTTAAACCAGTACAGTAAGATTAAGACATTTTACACAGCTCTTACTTTCAAAATATTTTGGGTTTCATTCCACTTATTTGTCCATTCCTTGGTCAATTCTTGAACCTAGAAACAAAAAAAAATAAATATATAATGATTTTATTAAAAATAAACATAATTTGTATCTAGAAAAGCTTCTAAATGTATAGACCCTATGAAAAGATGAACTCTCTCTCTCTCTCTCTCTCTCTCTCTCTCTCTCTCTCTCTGTGTGTGTGTGTGTGTGTGTGTGTGTATATACATATAATGTATACATTTTAATCTAACTAGCTCTACTCCTTAAAAGAACAGCTATTAAATATAAACCAAACAGCTGGTCTCATCACCAACCTACAGTGCAGCAAAGGAAAGAGACAGCAACATGCCAAGTTATAACTTTATGACCTCTTTTCCATGCGGATTTAGAGAAGCTTCTTCTTGGGATTGTTAACCACTTACAACCCCAAGGATGGCAACAGCACATTAAGTGTGTTTGCTTTACCTGGCCATACTTGAAGAAATAGCCATTTACTTTCCTTTTTAATTGGACGTGGTGATTAGATCACCTTGGATGCTGCAGTTTTCTTTTAGGAGATAATACTTTTGTAGCTAACTAATGGGGTTTATAAATCTCATTCTACCTCTGGGAAAGGGGGAAAAGATGCTTCTCTATTCGATTCTTTCAGACACAGCAAAATTCTATTGATAAAAATCAGTTTATTTTCAGTGAACTGTAACTTAGGGAAGGAAAGGGCCTGAAAGTTGAGTGCACATAGGTGGTGAGTACTTCTCAAAGCTACTCAAGTTTTCATCTAGTTCCAGGAATGTTTTAAGATGATCCTCAATGCTTAATTCACAAAGAAGCAAAAGAATGATTGCTGCATCAAAAGGCCAAGAAAAAATTGAATGAAAAGACTGATCCATGAAGAGGAGAGCTGACCTCTCAGGGCTCACTGTTTCTACCAACTGACTGCCTCCCAATTTCCACAGCAGAAACAATTTCCCCTAAGCCTCCTGTTCTCCTCAACCACAGCCCCCATCCTGTAAGGTAACTGCTGTAACCCCTCCTAAGGAAAAGGCACACTCCATGAGCCTTACAGCATAGAAATCTTGACTAAACAAAGTGTGTTGCTGACAAGGAAGTGGGGATCTGTGGTGATCACCAACCCAGGGGAAAACAAACCTACCTGACTTAACAGTCAATGGCTATTCACTTACTGAAGCTACCCCAGATAACCATGCAGTTCCATGTAAATGTTTCTTCTTTAACTAATTATTTCTGTTGAAGTCTGTCTTCTTTGTGAACAAAGCAAACAGGAGTAAAGAGATACCCCCATCACTTTCTGCCTGCCTCCATGCTTTGATAAGGTTGTGGGGATAGTCAGAAACCACTCATACCCAAGAACCCTTCAAAGGAGACAGCAGTTGAGTCACATGGCCACTGGAATATGGAATGCTTTGTTCTAAAAATAAAATCTTTCAGAAGGGGATATTCTTGTATCTTTTCTCTCTACAGAGGGGGAAAGGGGTAGCATATTGAATTTTCTAATTTATACTAACCATTGAGTAGACTTTCATTGGCAACTTATCTGAGAATAGGAAACATTCAGTAAATGAATGTCTACACCACCTTATATGTCCTTATTGAAGAAAAGTGAGCCAATCAACAGCAGAGAGACCCACAACTGGACAATGTGCAGAGAGTGAAAGATTTTTAAGCATTCAGTCATAAATGGGATATCTTCATCAAACCTCTCCCCTCAGGGGTCAGGAACAATTGGAAACTGAGGTGTTAAGATTTTCAGAGCCATAGGGGATGGAGGGCACCAAGGAAACAGTATCTTCCAGATAAAACAGGACTAATGCACATATAAACTCATAGAGACCATTGAAGCATGCACAGAGCCTTCATGGGTTCAAGCCAAACAGGGCCCCAGAGCTGAGAGGGGAAGTAGGCATGTGATCCTATTCCTAGCCAAGAAGCTACCTGCAACTGATACCTACTTGCAAAAAAAATTTTTTGATGGAGTCTCACTGGGCATATTAACCATATTTAAGAAATATTTAAGAAATGATGGCTTGCCGGGCGGTGGTGGCACACACCTTTAATCCCAGCACTTGGGAGACAGAAGCAGGTGGATCTCTGTGAAAAAACCAAAAAAACCAAAAAAAAAAAAAAAAAAAAAAAAGAAATGATGGCTTACTGACACTATTAATCATTTGTTAGCCAACACAATTATACTAGCAATTATGAACATAATTCATAACTACAACTCAACTTGACTCTTCCACAGTGTAAGTCTTGAGTTTTTACCATCAGATCATTTGTTTTCCTCTAGGGCTATTTTAATCATTCAGCACCAGAAAAAATAAGGAGTTCTAAATTGTTCTTATTGTCTGTTTCTCTTTTCCCAGGGGCCATTAAAAGAAAAAAAAATTAACATGGCATAACCAAGTCAGCCAGGAAGATTGTTTTAAAAATGCAAGTCTTGATGTCAGCCCTCTGCCGCACTCCCCTCCCCCACCTCCTACAGCGCATCCTCCTCAGTTCTGGTCCCTGACTGAGGTTCCCTTCCTGTCTCTTAATTGGTCTCTGACCCAGAGTACTTGTAGTCCAGAATATCCCACTACAAAGTCAAGGGCTCAAAAAAGCTGAACAACACTTAGCACTAAGTTATGGGGACCACTGTAGTCTCATGAATGTTAACTGGAGTCTCTTGTCAAGGACTCTGCCTGCTTTCGTGGTCACACTCTCTGTCAGGAAGACTGCCTGTGACCCTAATTGTAGCAAGTCATAATGTGCCCCTCAAATCCTGTGTACTAACGTGGATGTACAATACATAAAAAGCTAACAAATACTCATTCTGAGGAAGTACCATGGGCCTGGTGTGGTGGTGCATGCCTCTAAACCTAGCTGGATCAAACTGAAACACCATGAGTTCAAGTACAGTTGGCACTGTACAGTTGACACAGTGATATTCTGTCTTGAACACAAAACACAGGCCGTGGCCATAGGGTTAGGGTTAGAGATAAGTGTAATAAAGAAAATGTATCCCAACCAATGGGAAAGCACAAGTGTTCCATTCTATGGTAAGAGACTGATGACAGTCTCAAGTTGTAATAAACATGGATTAAAAAATAATATTTAGGTTAAAATTAAAAAACAATAATAACTCAAACCATCACTTACTCTTGCTTCATTTTGGTGAAGTTTTTCCTCCATACTTAAGGCTGTAGGGGAGTCCAAGAGGGCAATCTACAATTTAAATCATAAAGACATCAGTAATTAATAAAAAGAGACGATGCACATTTCTAGGATTTCCCCCAAATTACCACAACAGTTTCATAAAAATATTAGATGTTTATAAAAATAATTTCTTACACACACCTTCAAAGAATTATCGTTAAGTCTCTTATCTATGAAATACATGTCCTAATACCAAAATCATGACATCACAGTCGTAAACCTACATCTGCAATACAATCAGCAAAGGAAAAACCATAGCAGCATCATTTCACTCAAGTCAAACACACCTAAATCCCTACAGTTCTCAGAATTTGTTTTTCTAATGTATAGAAAGAACAAAGCTCAAAAAGACACCCAAGTATTGCTTAATACTTCATCCATTTTGAAATATATAAACAGAATTCACTTGTTTTCACTGCTGATGGCATCCAGTATATGGCCCAGTTATGAGACAATCTATGTGTATTTCCTTATCTATGCTGCAGAAGGATAAAATCTTAAGTCATAAACACCAAAATAGGTGAGAACCTAGGACAAGTGGATAGCCTGGGGTTTTGGTAACCTGTCTAATAATTAAGCCCGGGCCTGAGTGGCAAGTGAATAAGTGCCCTATTATGTCTGCTGTTCTTTGCTGCTAGAGATGTCACAGTAACAAACAGAAAGAGTCCAGCACAGGCAAGCATTCTTTCTCAATTTAATGAAACCATGTTTTTGTTGTGTTAACATAACTGCAAATAGCATAAGCCAACTATCCTGATTATTGTTTTTTTTTCTTTTTTCTTTTCTTTTCTTTTTTTTGGGGGGGTGGGGTTTGAGACAGGGTTTCTCTGTGTAGCTATTCTGGAGCCTATTCTGGCACTCGCTCTGGAGACCAGGCTGGCCTCGAAATCACAGAGATCCGCCTGCCTCTGCCTCCTGAGTGCTGGGATTAAAGGTGTGCGCCACCAATGCCCAACCCTGATTATTGTTTTTAAAAAACAATATATTAGCAATATATTGCTTATCTTTAAACAATATAAACCTTTTCTTTGTAATGATTTTATTCCATTGTTTGGTATTCACTGCATGGGTATCCTGTATTTGCTGTTGGGGCTTTCCTGACTGATGTAAATGCAGGTTTTTCTAATCATTTGCTCCTCCAGCAATGCTACAGTAACTATCCTTGTACTAACTGCCTACAATCTACATGATCATATCAACAGAATAAATTTCCTGGAGGGAATTCCTTAGCCATCATGTGATTCTTCCCTAGCACCAGCACAGTTTTCATTTCTCTTTCTTATGTCTTCAGTTGATCAGGATGACTGTGGACCACACTGGGACTCTGTGATCAACAGAGGACATAGGTGCTCAGTGGGGCAGCACAAGTGTAGAACTCAGAGGCAAGAGCCTGGTGATAGTCTCTAGAGTGTTCCGTCAGCTATCCAAATGCAGGGTGGAGATTCACATGGGCATGTATGCAGCCCATCTTTGTTTTGAAATTCACAGGCCACCACAAAGTTCAGTGGAAATATGAGGGGCACACCTTCAAGAAGCCTTCTGAGGGACATGCCCAATTACAGGAGTCCCTTGCTTCAGGGGACCCAAAGGTATAGCTTCTCGGCTGCCATCTTAAGTTTATACACTGTCCATCTTAACCTGGATGAAATTCATCAATGGGGGGGGGTATTTTTATTATTGTTGTAAGTGCTGCCTGGTTATACAGCTGGCATCCATTTTTATCAGGTTTACAGGAACGAAGGTAAAACCGAAGCCGATCACTCTTGCCAAGATGCTGCATACTCAGTGGGATTCATTGTACTGGACATTTTTCACATATTCAGGAAGCAATCTGAAACTATTTTTCTACAACCTGTGCTCACACTATTTCTCCCCTTTCCTTTGGGTTGTGATGCTTTTATTTGCAGTTGTTCTTGTTGTAGCAAGGGAAGTAGCATGAGGTTGCCTGAGCTGCAACTGTGCTGATTACAGTCCTCATGGTGTTATGTGCACTTTCTGCATCCGCACTCAATTCTGCCTTCCTGCCTGCCTTCCTGCCTTCCTGCCTTCCTGCCTGCCTGCCTGCCTGCACTCTCACAGAAGGAGAGAATTCTTTGTGACAAATGTGTGTGACTCTGTCTCCTCTCTTTCCAATTGTTTTGTTTTACTTTATGAAAGTTGATGTCCTGTCTGATTTTAATTGTGAACTGCATTCTATGACATGACAAAGTAATCGTTTTATTGAGCTAAGTGATTGCTGTTTCTGCCTCCCTCTCCTTCTCCATGAGTTAACTGATAGGACTCTGCCTATTCCTACCAGCTCCATCTACCTGAGCTTTGCTCTGTGCCCTTGTCTCCCACACATCTCTTGTAAAAGCCTCTACGATGTTGTTCTACTATTTACCTTCCAATACCAGGCCTGGTCATAAAAGAGGAGTCCATTATACCTCCATGTTTTTGCCCCATTGTTTTCTTTCCTGCTAACTCTCATTGTTCATTTCGTTTCTACTTTTATTAAGTTTCTATTTTTCCCAGATGCATTTGTTAGAGATTAGGAACTAAAACATTTTCTTTCTATAACATTAAAAGTGGAAATACTTGTAAATGCAACAAAGCACTTGATAAGAGGGTGTACCCAGAGGCCAACTTCATAAATCATGTGAAAAGTGCAAAGTAAGACCATTTTATGATACATATCAATCAAGATGGCTAATGGCAAGTGGGTAGCATGAGTGTGGGCAAGGATCTGCAGAGACTAAACTGGCACTGGCATGTGTGGATGGGGAAAGGGGATGGCATAACTACTTAAAAACCGGCGGCACCTCCTGAAATTATGCATAGGATATGTATACCTCTGACCTCCAAGTCTTCTTAGGCATAAGTCCCACAGAAATATATCTCTATGTGTACTAAAAGGCATTTAAAGGTCCACAACAAACATAATAACCCCAAATAGGAAATCCCCCAAAAGCAAATCAAAAGTTGACAGAGAGATGAACTAGGAAACGTTTGCATAAAGGAGTACAAACAGAAATGGGAGTAAGCGGGTCCTCACCTACATGCAATGAACCTACATTGATGAACCTCATAAACACACCTGATCCAAATAATACATACTGCAAGACTCCATATATATAAAGAGCAAAAGCATGCAAAATCCAAAGCTCTGCCTCAAATGGTCAGGAAGGTGGGTAGTCTTGAGAGGAGAGCGGATGGGAGGGTGGGCCCTCGCTGGAGCACAAAGAGTGACTCCTAGGGCATAGTGAAGCTCTATTCGCAAGATGAGTACAGGGAGAGGAGTGGCTTGGGCTTCTAAATCATGCATCTATGTATACATGTTGCAATTTTTCTGTACTTATATATGCTTCTGTAAAAATTCTCTGTATACATTAACATACATATATACATATTTTTTCTGTGTAATAGAAGTAAATACATATCAGAATCTTTCTGGTTTATGAGATGTATTTTTAAAAGTTTGGCACATGATCTCTGCAATGATAGTATGCAAAATCACTAAAAATAATTGATTTTTATTTAGCTTTGCTTAAATAAACAATTCTAAAAATGGAAACTAAATTAACACTCTCAAAGAACTATAGGAGCATGGGAATAAAATATTCTAGAAATAGAGGAATGTTCTCAGAAAGATTTATTCATAATTATTTTAGAGAGAAATTGAAAGAAGAAGTGTGTGAGTGTGTGTGTGTGTGTGGGTGGGTGGGTGCACACATCTGGTAGGTCAGAGGACAACTTTGAGTGTTGGTCCTCAGGCACCTTCTACCTTAGTTTGAAATCTGTCTCTCATAAGCTGGAATTTCACAATGCATATGAGACTACTGGTCCACAAGCTCGAAGGGTTCTGCAAGTCTCCATCCCCTATCTCACTATAGCTAGGATTTACAGGTATTTACCCTCTCACCTGGCTCAATATAACCAAATACTCACCAACCACACCATCCTCCAGTCCCTTAGTCAGAGTTTGTTTTTAATGACACTTAAGAACATTTGTTTATTTTATTAATTATCACATTTAATTAAGTAGGTTTTGCTTATAATGTATCAAAGAATTATAGTTTCAAATTTTTCCTTATTTTGAATCAGACTCCCATGTTCACTATAATGCATGTTAAATTTATCAAAATCAATTCTAAATAGACTTTCCTCTGAGAGGAGGGAACCTCAATTAAGAAAATGCTTCTATAAGATGGGGCTCTAGGCAAGCCTATAAGGCATTTTCTTTATTAGTAATTGATGAGGGAGGGCCCAGTCCATTGTGGATGGTGCCATCTCTGGGCAGGTGGTCCTGGCTTCTATAAGAAAGCAGGCTGAGCAAGCCAAGAGAACCACCCAGCAAACAGCACTCATCCCTGACTTGTGCATCAGCTCCTGCCTCCAGGTTCCTGTCCTATTTGAGTTCCTGTCCTGACTTCCTTCACTGATGAACAGTGATGGAAGTGTAAGCCACATAAACCCTTTCCTTCCCAAGTTGCCTTTGGTCACAGGGTTTCAGGACAGCAATAACAACCCTAAGCCAGTGGGTAAAGGACTTGTCACCAAACCTGATGACAGGAAATCAAGCCTAGGAACTCACATGCTGAAAGGAGAGAACCAAATTCTGAAGGTTGTCTTCTGACCCCCATAAGGGTACCATGGTATGTGTATATCCACTCTCCCTCAACACGCTCTCTTACATAATCAAGTATATTCTTCAAATATTTTCCTTCACATATTAATCATTTAAAAGGCTTACTTTTAACACATAATAACACATCCAAAACATAGATAAAGGATTCTATAAATAGAAACAAGTATTGTGGTTCCTGATATCACATTCACTGACATACTGACAACTCCCATTCACACCAGAGGCCTGACATCACAAATGGAAGTATGTGCACAGGCCTGACACACACAAATGGAAGTAGGTACAACATTATTTTTAAGTGCAATGAAGGAGTCCTGTTTAACTGCAGTCTGACATCTTGTGGGAAAGGACTACCAGGAAGACTTCAGGACACAGGAAACTGAGTTTTCATTTTGACAATATTTCTATAGTTCAAACTATTTATGGGCTATCAAGAGTGTGGAGTGTCATATATTCTTACAGGGTGCTGAATGCTTCCCATTCACAGAAATGGGGTTGTTTAATGATAGACTTAAGATGTCCACACATGGCCTAAGAACGCGGGATGGAATAACTGTACCTTCATTTTATTTCTAACAGCAAGAGTTTAAAATACTAGCTCTGATTTTCTTTCAAGGGTGGCCTTTCTTCACAGTAGTACCTAAGCCATCTGGAACTTAGCTCACACAGTCCTCACGGAGAATAACCCTGCAAGCACATGCTTAGTCTGTGAGAAACAAAAGGACACAGCTTCTCTGTAATTCAGAAGATCTTGAAGTCAGTTTATTTCGATAATCATACAAGGCCCTGGAGAACATCACATCCAGGCCATAGACATGATACCAGAGGCACAACTGAGTCACCATAACCACATACGGCATGGCTAAAGTGAGACCAAGACTCAGAAAGGTATCCAAACACATCCCCTCTGTTAAAATACATTACAGTCATAAAACACATGGGAAGAATTTTGAATATTAATCTAAGCATCTAAATTTCTTTTTACTAATGGAGATTATGCCACTAATCCTATTGCATGCTAAATTTCCATCCATAATTGATAACTATTAGAAGGTTAATCATTTAAGGCTTGATGGATAAAATCTTACACCCAGAATGCATAAGGAATGCAAAGGCCAAAAGGAAGCTGATATAGAGACTGGCTAACTCATCTGAAGCTTTACTTAGCACTTATTTACTCAAATCAATACCACAGGATAATTGTCTCATTAAGATCTAGAAATAGATGCCATTACTCAAAGAAAATTATCTATAAATCTCAGAAAAACTCAACCTGATTCCCTTGAGCGAGCAGGGTTTTCAGCCTGGCTATTTCAGCTCGCAGCTCACGGATGAGTTTGACGTTGGCATCCTCATTAATGGTAGGCTTGTTGATGATGTTTTTGGCTCTATTTGCATAGCGAAGGGTACTTAGGGTTTCTCCATAATTGACATCAGCAGGTGAAATGGCTGTGAAGAATGAATACGAAAAATAATTCATCTAGCACTCCATGTTTCATTTAACACAAAGTTGGTTTGTAATTTAAAAGTCAGATCAACCCCAGGTCACAGGAAAGACTAAATATTCATTGCCACAGTAATGAATATGAAAAAATTGTCTAAGGTTTATAGGAAAGGGTGTTCACTATACCGAATTAAATGTCGTTTTGCTCCTCTCACATCTATAATCAGCCACTTGAACAACTTCAAGATAGGGTGTGAGATACCCCACACAGGGAAGGGTTTTCTAGGCTGATAACATGAAATTTCAGGAATGCACTTCTCCATTGAGCAGGAATTAAAATAGTTTTGCATTTCTGATAAAAACCCATCATCTGTAAAAGCCCAGAGCCCACCAATTTCTCAAAAGTCAGTAGGCTACTTAATTCTTTCCTTCTGGAAGCTTTGCTTAGTTTTACCCTGAAGCCCACTACCACTTCCACCTAACCGTTAAGACTGGGATGAATACATGGTTGTGTTCCCTTGATGCCACCAGTGAGTGCAGGACAAGGGCTGTGAAGAAGACACAGGAGGGAGAAGGGAAAAGGAGAAAAAGACAGAGGGAAGTAAAGCTGAGAGGTAACAAGTCCTGAGTTCCCCTTAGCACATCTCCTGTTCTACGTTTTTTTCTCAATCCTTCCTCTTTCACCTAATTGGTCAACTGTAAAAATAAAAGTATACTACTATTCCTATTATACTTAACACCTATGTTTTTCCTTTAAATTTTAAATTCTGCATCTACCATTTTAAATGAAAAAAAATGGGCTGTTTACTTTCTCTATGAAGGGTTCTCCTATGAGCTAGTGAAGTTCAAGCCTGCCTTGTACTTAAAGCAAAGAGAAGCTGAGCATGTCTGCCTGCCATTGTAGCCTCCATGATGCCCACGTCTACAGAGCTGCAAATTCCAAACTACAGATGTGTTACAATAGGTGATTTTCAAGACAGGAAGAAACATTTATTTCCTTAAGATATAAAAGATGCTGCATCCTAATAAGACACTTGCAACTTAAATATTTACACTTAATTCACAGCAAACACTGATGCTCAGAGAAATAATTTAAACTCTTACTGGCAATCATGATGGTTTTAGAGTTTCCTCCAAGGCTGTCTTTCAACAGCCAAGTCAAAACAGAATCCCTGTAAGGCACAAAAACTTGCTTCTTCTTCACAAGAGGGTTGGCTGCATCCTGAGATAAATCAGCTGCCAGGAAGAAAGAAACAGGAGATCATCCCAAAGTCTCTGCTTTTTTTAATTTAGCTCTAAAAGACCTGAGCACGCTGCCTGGGTTTGAGAGACAAACATCGAGTAGGCGTGTTCCGAGCTAACATAGACAGAATAGGGCAGGAGGTGACTTCAAGCCTACCTAAGGCAGAAATGACATTTCCCAAAGTCACCAGGGACTTGTTTATATTGCCCCCTTCCTTGAGTCTGACGCCAGTGGCACCGGTGGCATCTGCACGCTCACTTCCAGCAAGATCGACCAAGTGGATCTTGCTCACAGTTTCGCATGGCATTTCAGCATCGAATTTTGCCTGTGGAAAGACATGCATGTAACACTGAAGAGGACAAAAGCTCCCACGGTTTTCATGACCAAAGCCCCACCACTTTCCAGTCCCAGTGGAGATCTCTCAGGTAGACCTTTTGTGTTCATTTTGTTATTTTATCGGCTATCATAGTGATTATGAGAACTACCCAAATTGAACCGGACACAACAGAACTCTACTACATGTGACTCTCATGCTTTCTGAAAAACCAGTCCATTTGGCAAACCACTGTTACTCTTGACAAAAACCCTCAGGATTGGAGACCAAAACAATATAAAACCAGCCCCTAAAGAGACCTGGAAAAGAAAACTAAATAAACATGTAATTAGCTTTATCCTTCTGAAGCTCCAGCATTCCATACACAAAGGCTCTTCAGAACATGACTAACAGACAGTTATGTAACATATCAGTTGATACGGTTTAATAAAACACACATCTTTAAAGATGTGAAGTATCAAATGTAAATTCCCTTGCTCTGAATCCTAGTAGATGTTTATATTTCCAAAGACCTTTAACCTATGTTTTTTAAATTTTTAGCCAAATGCAACAAATAATAATAAAAATAGGCTTTGATGGACATATAAACCTCTTAAAAACTATAGTTAGCTACATACTAGCATCCACCAGAAAACTGAAGAAAAGCCAGTAAGCTGCCATAATGCAAAGCAAGGCTCTAACCATGCTATAGAAGGACATGGAGAATGCCCAGAGAGCTTTCAAATTGGTCTTGGAGAGTCAACTTATTTTCCTGCCCTCTGATCCTCAAATTAGTAGAGGGCTGCTTCTGCTGAGTTCAATGTCAATGTGGACAGACAACTCCAACTCCTAACACTTGAGAAAGCCCTGAAGACTTGCAACTGTGTATACCTGTGGTCTGGCTTTGGTAACAGACTACTTCCCCTCAGCCACTCCCAGCCACCTTCAAGACACTGTCCACCACCTGAGCAGAATGAATTCTTACATTAGTGCCTCTGAGTACTCACTGTCCTCTCATCATAATCTGCATCACCAGAACCCTTGGTGCAATAATGGACTGCACCCGTTTCTCACCTCGGCCTCCAGCTGCTCTGCCTCAAAATCCATTATCTCCCACTGAGTTTATAACAATGAAAACTTTTGCTTAATTAGGCACAGGGTGAGTTTTTCTTATGCCTAGAACAAGGTAGAAGCTTGCGAAATATTTGTAAGGATATACATCAGGACTTTTAAATCACTGTGAATGCAGAAAGGCTGAGCACACAGCTTATGTTCAACTCTAATTAACAAGGAACTGACAGTCACCTTTGCTTGCTGCTGCTCCTGGTGCAACAATGATCAGCTGGTGCTAATCAGCAAGGAAAGGCCTGAGGGATAGAGCCTCTGCCCCATGGCTGCCGTTACCTGAGTGAACTTGATGGTGAAGATGGCGTGAGACCTGCTACTGAAGTCGTTCATCCCCGTGGCTGCAGTGGTCCGGTTGATATTCCCCGCGTCCATTAGTTCTTCCACATCACTGTAGTTCTGGACTAAATGCTTGGATAAATCTAGAAGAGAAAGAGAAAGGGTTGAGGAATCCTTCTGTTATGTAGTGGAGGAAATAATAACTTCCCTCTAAGAATCATGCCTGACTGAGCATCTGCCGACCTGGTTGCAGATCTACAGAGTGGTGGTCTGTAATGCAGTCAGGGAGCTGGACCATTCGGTTGGCCTCAATGCACCTCAGCAACCTAATCTGAGTGCCCATTACACTCCATTACACAGAGTGCCTAGGATAAAAGTCAGCTATAAACAGCAATCTCTTAGAAGCAGTCATGGCACAAGTAAGAAGAATATGAAAGCTCCACCCCAGGAAGAGTCCCACACATACATGCCTCACCCTCCTGCAAAACCTGGAAATATTTTTAAACTCTAAAAGTTTTTTAATGTCTCCTTTTTCTTGAGGGGAAGGTAGCTCTCAGGGTTACACTATTTAGGGCTCCTCTGCCTTTTCCCTAGAGCAAACTCTTTCCTTCTCTTCTATCAGGTAACCAATGTTCCCAGATTCCCTATACCCTTCAAGACAATCCGTATATACTAAGGCAGTTTCATATATGTAAAGTCAGCCCCCACTCCATGCACATGGTAGCATGGGGGGGCGGACACATATGAGGTCCTCTGATCAATCCCTTGAACCACAATAAAATGATTTTTAGAGCAGCATATCATGAACATTGTACTGCTTCCTGCTTTTTCCTTACATCCATCTAAGGATGCTCAGTAACAGTTAAGGTGACCTGGTGTTCATTTGTAAGGCTGCAGAGAAATGGCTGTACCTCTGATACACAATCAATTTAACCAGCCACCTTTTGAGACTACAGAAGTTGTTTTTATTTTATTTCCAAATACAAGTAAGGACTGTTAAAATATTGTGTGCATTGGTCTTTTCAAATGTATGGGAATGTGGCTACGAAATAAATTCTTGGAGGCAGAACTGCTAAATCAAAGGACACTGGAAACGCTGACAAATGCTGCAAAGCTCTCCTCCACAGAGGGCAGTTTGCTGCAGTGACAGTGAGGATGTGAAGCACACTTGTCCCCCGTCCCCTCCCCAGCACCCTCTCTATCCACCCAGAGGGTGACAAGCAATGCCTGTAAGGGCTTTTTGCTTTTCTATTATGATGAAAGAAGCTGAGCAATGTTTCTCCCATTTCAAATACACCCATGGCTTGGGGTGGTGGTGGCTCAGGGTGTTTGTAGCTCAGGGTGATGGTGGCTCAGAGTGGTGGTAGTTCAGAGAGGTAGTAGCTTGGGGTGGTGGTATAGACCAACGCCATAGAGCATTTGCCTGGCATGCTCAAAGGAGACCCTGGGTCTGATTCCTAGTACCATTGGGAAAAAACATTATTCTTCTGTGGCTTCTGGGTTTTAAGCCAAATTTTTAAAACCTTTTCTTCCCTAAGATTCTGGGGGGAGGGGGGAAACACCCATTGTACATTGTGATCCTGTCATTATTTAGTATTTCACATGTAAATCCTTGACTTAATTTTTCAAGTATTTTGGTATAAAAGTTGAATGATGACACTTTATTTTTTCTTTTCAGATAATCTATAATCCATACTCCCCAATATTTGAATAATGCATTATTTGATATTTTATAAGGATCATAAGAGGTCAATAGATCCAGATGTTTTTACCCTGTTTAATTATTCTGTCTCTTCATTTATCAGTTTTATATGTTTTAACATCTGCTATAACAAAGGAAAAATATAAAGCTTCTGTTAGACTAAAAGCAATAGGTATTCTATAACACTTCCAAAGCATGCACGCGCGCGCGCACACACACACACACACACACACACACACACACACATAGCTACACACCTTGCTCTGGAGAGGTAGAACACAAATGCAAATGGGATCTTAAAATATAGATGGGTCCTGTGGGCACGTTGAGGACCTCAAGGTTTAAAAAAGGGGAACTAAAAGAGGCACATCTTCAAATCTATGTCCAGTTCCATTCTTGATAGCAAGGAAACATGCTTCATGAACAATACCATAAGAAAGCATGTTTTCATACTCCCTTAGGCTACTCCCCAGCAGTTACTCAGTTCCCTTAGGGAGAGCAAAATTAGCCTCCTAACAAGCATGACCTGAAACCCAATGTGTTACTCCTCTCACTTCGGTGATTAAAAACACTTGGCAACGAGACTTAAAGGACAAAGGACAAAAGGTTTATCTTGGCTTACAGTTAAAGGGGAGACAATCAAACACAGTGGTGAAGGCATGGTGGCGGAACTAGGAGGCACCTAGTCCCTAGTCGAATTGTGTCCATAATCATGAAGCAGAGAGCCAGCAATGCTTGTGTTCATTTTATTCAGTCTGTGTCCCCAGAACAATGGAATGGTGCTACCCACATTTAGCATGAAGTCCACCTACCTCAACTAATGAAATCTAGATAATCCCTCATAAACATGCCCAGAGATTTGTATCCATGGTAACTGAAAACTCACATGGAGTTGACAAAAAGATTAACTATCACAGGCAGCGTGACAAGGGCCAGCTCTCTACACCACATTACAAGCAACACCCTCCATGACTTAACTGTGCCTCAGTTAGTGTTGGGGATAGAACCACCACTAAGAGACCAGAAATTTAATAAATTTTCACAACCATGGCCCAAGAACCCCAAAGTGCTCACATCAGAATGCTATAACTTAACACCACAGGACAGCATCCCAGAAATGGTGCCCAGATCCTTTGACCAGCGCAGATCTTAACTGCATGCCCTTGGTTTGCATGGTTATTAACTGCATGACATAGGGTATACAACTGAAGTTATATGCACCGAGGCTCAAGCTAACCTCCCAGACCTGTACTTAAGCCAGTATGGACTGTACTCTTCCTTCACATGGCATGATTTACATGCCAGGAAACTATATACAGAGAAACCAACCCAAAACATAAAAGTACTTCTAAATGGTGACTGCTATTGCTTAGCCTGCTGTGCCCCTGTACTATACTCAGTAAACTACTATGCCTATTTTAATCTAAGGGGTGAATTCATTCACTGTCTGGCAGACCCTTCCTGACACTGTAGAGGTAGGTACCCAGTCCACCACAGTTATCCTATCACAACACATACGCCAAGAACGAAGAGGGAACACCTATGGAACTCTTCTGACAAACAAAAGGCCTGACACTGTCTTGTACCGACAGTCACTGAGACACACAGGTTTTGAGTGGGTGAGACTTGCTTATCTTGTTGGAAAAGATGGAAAAACCAATTTCCAGACAGTTTTTTAAGGCAAAGGAAATGATGGCTAGGCTTCATAAGACACCTAGTGAAGTATAGACTCACAAAATGAATAGCACAAAATGGTGGCTCCTGGTACCTTTACTATAATAAAATTCCAAAAGTAAACAACTTTTTAAATCCTTACCATCACCACAGCTTTGTATCTTTTTTATTTTTACAATTCAAAAAGAGATCAGAGGAGTGTATGAAGAAGACAAGAAACTTCCTTCTTACCCTCAACGTAAGGTCCTTCTTTGGGATGCTCACGGACTCTTAAGTTAAACATCTTAGATGACTTCCGCCTAAGTAGGTCTCTCACACGCTCGTTGTAAATTTCTAAGTAGCTAAAAGTTTTAAATAGAATGAATTTTAGAAAAACTATTTTAAGACATTAATAATAACAAGCACAACACGCATGGCGGCGGCAGCCATGTGCATCTCTGCTATGTACTTTACACGCAGCATCTCACTGAATCCCCCACTTTACACATATGACAAGAAAGGTCTATTGTGCTTTAAATAAATCACACAGAGTCACAGTCACCAAGAGGACAGGTGGCTCTGAGCACTACAGGTGGACACAGCTCTGCTAAAGACTACTGGAAAGACTTGGTGACAAAAAGGAAAAGGTGCTCCATGCATCCAGGCTGATGTGAGGGTGAGACGCACAGGGTCTCTCATGGTGAGTAACACAGACATTTCTTAGCCAAAAGAGGGAGACTAATTGCATGAGCTCACAGAAGCCAAAGGCTCACTCCGTCTGAGAGAAAAAAATTGAACACCAAAGCTTCCATCGAGCAATGATATTTCATGCCCAGACTGTACCCAAGGAGTCTCCTTTCTATTCCTCACTAACAATAAGTTCAGGTCAGGACGGGGCAGGCTCATCCCTCAGCAATCTGCAGCCTCAATCTTGTCTTCAACATCCCTGTACAAGTCAAGCAGCCTGGGGCCCTCAGGTCCTGGCCCTACCTGACTTCTGTCCTGAAAGAGGCTTCATCCCATCTGGTGGTTTCATTTATCCGACTGAAGAGTGCTTCACAGATCCGAGGTATTAAACCAGAATCGCCCTGAAATGGAGAAGAAGAGTGTCATAACTATCACTCAAACTAGATTCAAGGAGATAATGAACTTGAATTTTGCTGGCATGGACCCTAGAGGCCAGGGTGTCAATCAAGCCCAAACCTTCCACCAAGAGCCCCTTAGGACTGCTTCTTACACTGAAATGAAAAGATAATACCTTCTAATTTCTAAATGCTATGATTTGGATAATTTACATTTATCAGATATTAAACCAGTAAACACTGGCTTGTAATGATAAGGAAACTTGATCTCTATCAAAGAATATAGTTTATAATAAGGAATAAGTCTTAAAAATATCTGGCTACAATGACAATCTATGCTGGAGAGGATGTGGAGAAAAAGGAACACTCCTCCATTGCTGGTGGGAGTGCGAACTTGTAAGACCACTCTGGAAATCAGTATGGCGGTTGCTCAGAAAAATGGGAATCAGTCTACCTCAAGATCCAGCCATTCCTCTCTTGGGTATATACCCAAATAGTGCATGTACTTACAACAAGGACATATGTTCAACCATGTTCATAGCAGCATTGTTTGTAATAGCCAGAACCTGGAAGCAACCTAGATGCCCCTCAACTGAAGAATGGATTGAGAAAATGTGGTACATCTATACAATGGAGTACTACTCAGCAGAAAAAAGCAATGGAATCTTGAAATTCGCAGGCAAATGGATGGAACTAGAAGAAACCATCCTGAGTGAGGTAACCCAGTCACAAAAAGACAAACATGGTATGTACTCACTGATATATGCGAACTAATTGGGGGCATGAGGGTAGGGGGGAAAGGAGCTGTTACAATAAGAGCAAGAGAAGAGGAATAGAGGAGAGGAAATGGAGGGGCAGAAACATTGAGTTGGGGGAAGAATAGAGGAAAGAGAGCA